CTCTTCCTTTCCCTCCTCCCTCCCTCCCTTTCTCTCTACCTTGCTGGAGGGCACGCACACAGAGACAGAGAAAGGGAGAGCGAGAAAGAACTCCCCAGTCGGGTGAACATGCTGCAATCCTTTCTCCTCCATCCCTCCATCTTGCTGGTATTTGGGGCACACACACACATGTGCCAGTGTTTCTCAAGTGTCAGCCAGGGCTGAGACCTGAACTGTTGCCAGCGTGGCCATTCGTAATGACTGGCCAGGTCCTAGGTCCCGGGAGCTCCGTGAGCCGCAGGACACTGGGATGCACCCTCTTGTCTGCACATCCGAAACCTGCGGGTTCCCAACGTGGAAAGGGCAGTGAGGCTGGAGTGGGGGTCTGTGGTTTCCTGCCCCCAGTTAGGGCAGCCATAACCCCGGCCCTCTCACCCACTTGGGAAGAGGAAGGGGGAGGAGTACAGAAGTAGCTTAGCCATGACAGGGCCACAGGTCACGGTGGGGAAACACAGCTGACGGATGCCAAGCACAGGCCGTGTGCTACCCTCAGGGCCTGCCCTAGCCGCAGAGCAGGCTGCTACCACTGCTTGCCTGACAGAGAAGACTGTCTCTCCCAGGATACAGCTGTATCCCTAGGAACCATGGGGCCTCTGGCCGTTGAGGGCTGGTGAGAGGGTTGCTGTCTCTGCTGAGAACCCGGCTGCTAGAAGGAAGCAGGGGGAGAGATGAGGGCAAGTAGGTGGGTCTAGCCCCCATTTTCTGGGCTGCCTAATGCTCCACCAGCCTAGGAGGAGATGTGGGTGCGTCGCTGGTGCAGTGGAGCCCGGGCCAACTGGTGTGCCCTTGTCTCACCTCCTCAGGGCAGAGGAGGGACGCCGGAGCTGGAGGCTTGTCCTGCCCTGCACGCCGCACAGTGAGGAAGTGAAGAACTCTGTCCCCAGAGCACTTCTCTGCTGACCCCACAATGCCCCAGTGTCCAGCGTCTCAATTGCTCTTTCAAGCAGTGCTTGGGCTGGGACAGAGGTGCCTTTCATGGGCACATGCCACGCAGAAAAGACCACACAGTTTCTGGCAGCCAACAGCGCAGTTGGGAGCACAGTCTCCTGCGGACCCCTGAAAGAATGGATTCGGGACACCCTGAGAGAAGGGGTGTGTGGTAGAGAGGAGGGAGAGAGGGACACAGCACTCAGAGGAGGCAGGCATGGATGGAGCTCCCCCTCCCCCCCTCCAGTTTGTCGGTGGGGGGGGCCCCTGCAGGTCCAGGAGCCCCCTGCCATGC